TTGAGGCCAACAGAGTATTCTGGAGAAATATTACTGTGTGCTTGCTCTCTTCTCCTAGGCACTTATTGTTGGTGACTGTCATGATATGGCTTTTGTTCTGCTGTAGTGCAGCCATTTTTATGTTCAAGTGATAGTGTATTGGGGTAGGTGAAAACGTCTTTCTAGCGGTTTGCCTCTCTAAGCAGACATCTGACAACTAGCAGCAAAATAGGTAATGTGATGTGCCACCCATGCTTGTGTTAAAACTGACGTGGCAGATGCTGACCCTTTTGCACTCAAGAAGTCATGAATTTAATACTGCTGCTGTTTGTCGGAGGAATTGCAACGATTTCTGGAGCTACATTATTATCGTAAGTTCTGAACTAGAAAGCTTTTTCACTGCTGAAGTCACTGTCCAGTTTGGATCTCATCCACAAAATAAGTCTGTCTGATGAGACTTTGATAACACTGTTGTAAAGTGATGGAACAGAGATGACTGTTTATCTGACTTTGAATCAAGTGGAAGTGGAATCAGAGCCCTTTCTTTATTGTGGTTTTAGCACTAAGGAAAAAGGGCAATGCTGACATTTCAGATGTCAGCAGCCCAGTTAGCGCCCGCTGCTTTACTTCATGCAGCTTCCTTACTTGATCTGTTTCCGGGGATGCTTGATACTCAGTATTGCATACCTCTTCACCTGAAAAGTCTGCCCCCCGCGCGCGCGCTCTCTCTCTCTCTCTCTCTCTCTCTCAAATTGTAGGCCTCTGCAGCCACTTTATGTTCATATGCGATTAAAATTTAGCTCTTAGAAGAGGAAACATCTAAAGGAAGAAAAAGAGAGATGTAAAATGTACCTGGCTCTTCTCTCTTATATGACTGTTGTCATGTTCCTACTCTGACTGATTTCAAAGGTTTTCAGCCTTCTCATTTCTCTAGGATAGATGGTAATAGCACTGGATTGTGAAAATGCGTAAGTTTTGGGCAGGATTGATTCTTTAATTAAAAGTCTGGAATTCAGAAGGGAAAATGGTCACCTGAACTAGAGAGGCTTTCTTGAGCCAGCTGAAGACTCCAATTTACTCCTTGTTTTCGTAACAACTGTGTCCAAAAGAATAGTCGGAAGTCTGTGCCTCATAACTTTACTGCAGATGTTGTGGTTGCAAAAACAAAAAACCTTTGACTCTTCCATGACAGTACAACATAGGTGTTTTTTTTCACTCTGTATATTTGGTGACTTAACTGCTAGAAACACATATATGAAATGTTGTGAATTGTTAGGTGTTGCTGGTATCTCATGCTTGTTCTACTATTGTAACATGTTCTAAAGGAAAAAGAATTGAATTCCATTTCAGCCTAAGTCATCCTACTTGATACTTTTCTGCATAGTTTTTTCAAATTCCTTCATTATAAGTAGGTGCTGTAAGAGAAATTAACTTCTTTTGTCAGTAAAAATTCTCCTCACTTTCCCTTTTTCTTTTGGGGTATGGAAAATAACATAACTAGAACCCTTTCCTCTGATTCTTGAGAACAAGTTCCATAATACATGTAAGAAAAAAGATAAATCTGCCTCACCTCACCCCATAAAATGATCTTAAGTTTCTGCAATCCTCTTCAAAAATAGAGTCTGGGGCCCTACACTTAGACTCTTTCTATAATTCTGTTAACTTGGCCATATAGGTATCTGAGGTATATGTACTGTTGATATGCAATGTTACTCTCTGGCAGAATCTGTCATTTCAAATTTTATGACCAAATGCCTGTACTTACTTTAAAAAAAAAAAAAAAAAAAAAAGCTATCCATGAATCTTCCATAACTGGGGGAATTCTCACGTGCGTTCTTCTAAATGCTCCTGCTGCAGAAGTCTAAGCACAACTAAATAAGCTGGAGCTTGTGGTGCTGACAGCTGCCACATTGACGTATTAGTACTGCTTCTTGGGCTAGCTTTTTGGTGTGGGAAAGTAAGTTCCTTAGCAATCTCTTCCAAATTTTCCAGCACTGGATCAGCTTAATGGCTTGATTCACATCATGCTGTTGGACTGTATCTTTTTTGAAAGATATTAGAAAGATCAAAGGGTCATTGTCAAGAAGTAAGCTCTCCGCAAATGGTACCTTTTGCCATAAAATTGGAGATTTTTGCTTGCGGTCGTCTGCCCCATTGAGCTCTGCAACAGCAGAGCTTTCTGTAACAGCACCTAAATACGGATGTGCTTTTCTATTCAAATACAGTAAGTATTATAACTTAAACGTCAGGACTTTTATTTGCTTATCCTACTAAAAAGACTGCTATCACTCTTTCTTCTCCTAAAAAAAAAAAAAGTATATATTTTAAAATTTATGTAATAAATAATGGTAGCGCTTACAATTTTGTGATCATTGATAAAACACGAATGTAGCCTGGTACCCTGCTGTATTTGTAGCTGACTTTAATATACAGTTTAATAAATAGTATTTAAAAAAAAAATACAACATTTATGAAGAAAGAAAATAATGTACTGAGCTATGTCCTGCAAGAGAGAAGGGCTGTGGTGTGTGTGTGTAGGTACGGATTTTATGGATAGGCAGCTTGGCTGAATGAATTGTTGTTATAAATACTTTTGTGAATTCCTAAACATGTGTTAATAGGCACTAGTAGTCACATAGTACTGAAGTAAGAGTTGGTAGTTGACGTGCTTAAATGGTTGTGTTTGGTTTTTTTCTCCCCTCCTTTGAAATTTAGGATGGTACAACAGTTTTCAGTGGACTTTGAAAAAAGGATCGAAGGATCAGGAGATCAGGTTGATACACTAGAACTTTCAGGAGGTGCCAAAATCAATCGTATTTTCCATGAACGTTTTCCTTTTGAACTAGTGAAGGTATTTAATCCACCTTGTTGGTGTGCTTTGTGTTTTATTTATGTATTCTTATGTTCATACTGATAGTAGTAAAGCCAAGATAAGGTCTGATTGGAAGAACATGCTCTTAACTGTGGAAGAAATTACATGAAGTTATGATTGAGACATTTGGCTTCATTTCTAATTTTGGATACTGGGACATGCTAAGAATTCTGAAATAGAGGAGTTAGAATATAATTTAGTCCCAGTTCTTACTATTTTCCATGCTTTTTTATTGTTTTATCACAAATGGTATCTTCCTTCTGGTTAGATGGGGCAGGCAAACACCTACAGTTGGTAAATTTAAGTTGTTGTGTTCAAGTAGCTAGTACCTATTGAAATTAGAGTTATGGAAAATAGCCATTTTCTGTGTTTTCTACTTCCTGTATTCAATGCATTAAACCAAAGTCAGCTTTCAGTCCTACACTTTCACAGTTGGAGGTGGAGCAGAAGCAAATTTGGTGTTTAGAGATAACATTTCTCCTCTTGAAACATCTTTTCTTGCTTACACATCCTTTGGGTAACAGAATAAACGGAGGTCCAGTGGGGTGTAAACTAATGAAACCTGGTTTCCTAGAATTTGTGTTACATATTCTTTGATTTTTCTTTCACTGCAGTGACTTCAGCTTCCCCTCACCATGAATTCTACTGTATCTCTAGTTCCCATTCTTTTACACTTTTCCTAAGTTTCCTTTCCACTTGTTTTATGTTCAACTCCCTTGACATCCCCTGACTTTCAGTTGGGTAAGAACTGGACAGGGTTGTGGCTGGTTCCAAGGTTTAAATGTGGTAGGTCAACTAGCAGTCCAACAGAACCGATGACAGTTGGGCTTAGGTAATGACTCTTTCGTTTGTGACAACACTAACTTCTCTTCCAGCTAGGTAGCATTCAAGAAACTTAAAGAAAAGCTTTATAACTTCATAACAGAGACCACTCCTCTCTTAAATTTGGTTGAAAAACAGTAAAATGGGAAGGGAAGGATAAACTGACCATAATTACAGAAGTTGCACCACTTTAGGAGATCAGGCTTAAAAGAAAAAGTCGCATCTTCCAAATCCTGTTTCTGGCTTACTCTATCAACTCTGCAAAATTGTTCCAACTTTGGTGTATCTGGAATGGAAGGGTGCATAATTTTCAAAAATCCTTACTGCTGCCTGTAGCCTTAGTGTTAAAATGTTTTAAAATACTTATGCTTTGTTTAGTGTAATTAGAAATTAATATTTTGCCAGTTGAACTTGTCTGTCTTCCAGTTATATTGGGAGAGGTAGTATTTTCTGTTTTATTAAAAACTTCCCCTAATATGATCTCATATGCTTTTGTTCCTCTAGATGGAATTCAATGAGAAGGAACTGCGGAGAGAAATAAGTTATGCCATCAAGAACATACATGGTATCAGGCAAGTGCTCCTATGTTTTCAAGCCCAGTCACATTATAGAGGGTGTGGTCTTATTAACCTGTGGACACACTGGCTATTGACTGCTAGACTTCGTTACTAACGCACTGCTCCCAGCAGCTGACTTCTTTTCTTCCGTTCCTTTACACTTCTGTTTTTCAGGTAGCTGTTTTGGGCCAAACAGTTGGTTTGCCCAAAGAGGTTTAATTTACCCAGAAATGCTGGAAAATTATTTTACAGACAAAATCAATTACTTTTTTTCTGGTAGTGTCTGCAATTCTACTAAGCCTGTGTTCCTCAAAAGTCGTAAGTTTTAGAGCAAAAACTTGTGTCTTGATATGGAAAAAAACTTTCAGCTTGTGTTGTGGCAGACTCCTTGCACTATCTTACTCCCCTTTATTCTCAACCATTTCTTGAAATGACTGATTTGCAAGTGAGTTGGTTGAGGCTTCACTTTGTGGATGTGTCTGCAGTATATTGTTAGGTTTGGGAAGAGGAGGTATTTGATTTTTTGGTTTGGAATGACCTAATTATTTCACTTTGACCAGCCTATTTTGGAGGGACACTTTATCAGATGCATACCCATTTTTTGTTCTTTGGACAATAGAACAGATTCCAAAAAGCTTGGGTTCTTCTTTTGTGTAGTTTTGGTTCCTCCTTCCCCCCTCCCCCCCGCCCCTCCCTCCCCGTTGTGAGTACATAATATCTTTCAAAAGCATTGCTTACAAGCTTTGTTGTTCTTAGTCTTTTGGAAAATGTTCTTTGCATTACTTGTATAGTAAATTCTCAAATGGTTGACTCTAGTAGCCATGGTGCAGTATTTGAACTTTTCTGGCCTTATTGATGGAAAGGTCTTGATGAGCAATTTATGGTAGTGAACTGATAGTGTGGGGGGGGTTTTATAATTTGCTTTTTTATATAATTTATCTGCCAAGATAGACCTTTGCAAGCAGTGTTTGACAGAGAAGTAAGGCCTATTTGTTTAGAACTGGTTCTGTGAGCTATCTGTTATATAGGTTCATATATCCTGCAGTGATCAACTGTGAAATTCTCCATATAGGACTCTGAGTATCAGAACTGTATTTCCTGTTGTGAGTGATGAGAAAAGTGCAGCTATAGGATTCTTACAGGTTTGCTATGCAAGTGATTGGGCACAGAGGGCTGCAGCTGCCATTCATCCCTTCTCTAAGGTTTGATGCGCTGCTGAAGAGGCTTTACTGCATTATATCAGTACTCTTTAGAGTCTCGCAGTCATCTTCAAGTAGTGGGGCATGTTTCTATTTTTACATTCTTACTCACAGTGACACTGTTTTTTAGAGAAAGGAGCAAATTTAGTTCTGTGGAAGTCTGTCTGTGTAGGGATTGTTATTACTCAGTTGTAAGCCTCTGAAAATGAAGATATCAGCAATTCAGTAAAAAAAAATCTTCCTTGCATGATGTTTTTATTACTGTCTTACATATTCTTTTATGTCCACAGAACAGGTTTGTTTACTCCAGATATGGCGTTTGAAGCCATTGTTAAAAAACAGATAGTCAAGCTGAAAGGACCTTGCTTAAAAAGTGTGGATCTGGTAATGCAAGAGTTAATCAACACTGTCAAGAAGTGTACTAAAAAGGTAACTTGCAAATAGATCTGGTAATATAAGTATAATGTAAAGGTATAGTAGATAATATAAAGCCTGTCTTTCATTTTATGGTATTATAAGAGATTTCTGATCTAGTCACTTGATGAACAGAGCAAGACTCTCTAAAGTAATTACAACTTTTGCAAAACTCTCAAGACAATGTAATGCTGGAAATGTTCGGTTTTTGATTCCTGTGTTTTGAATATATATATTCCCCTTATGATTGGAGTTCTTTTGAGTCAAGAGTTGCCCTCAGTTTCCTCTTTAAAACCATGTTTTCATTGGTACTGAAAATGGAACGTAGGCAGCAATTCCACAGATGTGTAAATCAGAAAAAAAAATTGTACTTTAAAGTTTTCTTTTCCGATGCTAATAAGAGGAAGAAACAGTGAAACTTTTCTAGAGCAAAGGCCTCAAATGTGTTCAGAGACGTCTATCAAGGAGAGAAAAATGCTCTTTCTATATTGAAACTGTACTGGGTAGCACCACAGTTCTTTGCAATGTAGTGGGCCCACAACTCCTCCTGTGCTTTTTTCATACACAACCCCAAAACATCTGATCTCCAGCTGTAAAGAAGTTAGAAGTGGAAAGCTAGGAAGACTTCTCCTTTGTATTTGTACATCCTTGCATTAGTGTTTACGAATGAGCTTGCTGCACAGAAATATTGAACATTTAACTGGAAAGAACCGCTGAGCATTGAGCTTCCTGATGTGAAATTTGTGTGCATCAATTAAACTTCTAACTCAAGATCCTGCAAGTGTAATAAATTAAGAATTACGTTCATCAAAACTGAACATAGCATTATTGTGAGTATTTGGGAATAGTTTTCCTGAGGTGTGTGCTTGGGTTGGTGTATGCTCTTAGAATGAAACCTCAGACTTCACACCCCACCCACCCCCCCAGCTGTGGCTAAGGAAGCATGTCAGATATATTAGTATGAAGCTTTTTTTTTTCCTCGCACTTTTCACCTTCATAGGAAAGTTGTCATCTGTAAATACTGAGACTCACTTGTCTGGAGCATTGACAACTAACAGTTGCTGATTTTCAATTCTCTTTTCTCCCATTACTCTGTGATATTCTAGAAGATCCCACTGACTCTTGTAGACTTCTTAGCTAACTGGCTACTTTTATTGTCTGACCTTCTGTTCATCTGTCTTTCCCAGTGTCTCAGAGAGCAGGGTACCCTAACAGCAGCAAGTACAGGAACAGTTCTGGGATGTGAGCAAAGGTGTGCTGAAGTTGTTGAGAAATATCCTGTCACATCCTTTGCATTTTTCTGAATAATGCAATTTTTTTTTTGTATCAATGAGCAGGTAAAGGAGCCATTTCTTAAAACAGGAAAGGGTGACAATCTTTTTGACAAATATCATAGAGAAGCGGATTCACTGCAATACTTTGAGTGGATTTTCCAGGTTTTTTCACTTTTGTCAAAGTTTGGAAGATATGTCACTTAAATTAATTGTGCAGATTCTTTTCCCAGTGCTATTGGCCAGATTTACTGTTGTGTTTTGCTGTTCACATTTTTTAAGTATTGTTATTGATATGTAAAGATGCTGCCACAAGGTGGAGCCTTCAAAGAACAAGAAACTTGGAAATTATTTAAAGCGCCACTCTGGAATTAGGCACAGTAGAAGAGAGAGGCATGGAGAATCCTCACCCCAAGGCTGATAAACTGTGGTTCACATGTCCACAGTGTCTTTTCCTCAATGTTCTATGGAGCAAAAGCACAGAAACAATCCAGGGTTTAGGTCTCTCCAGTTTCTCTGAAAAATAACCATTAATAGCAAGTAAGGCTTGCTTTGTAGTGTAGTTAACTTTTAGCCCAAGCATTTGTAGTAATTGCTGTCTTCAAACAGGAAAGGTGGAGGCTCCCCTGTTTGTATTCTACTGAAGCCACTCTGCAGGTGTAAATTTCTATTAATTTTGCTTTTCAGTTGGCAACATATCCAAGGTTGTGTGAGGAAACAGAAAGAATTGTTGCCAGCTACATTCGTGAAAGAGAAGAGAAGACCAAGGATCAGGTGAGAATAAATAGGAGATCTAATGGTTTGGAGAAGTGTGTGAAGGAGGAAAGTACTTACATACAAAGTACAATAAGACAATGAAAGATTTTTCCTTTTTTTTTTTTTTTTGTTTGTTTGTCTTCCCAGCAGGCTGCACATTTTAGAGGGAGAGAGATATTGCTCCTCTACCATTGAGCTTTGACAGAGGAGACTAGAATTGTTACAGAAAATCCTAATCTGGTCTTTCAAGATTAGGATTGGTGTCTTAAAGTAGCATTGGCTTGTGCCACAGTGTGCCATCTTCTTAGCTGTGCCACAATGGCTGTTTGTGGGAAATTGATTAATGATTAAACAAATGCACACAGAAATACCTAGCCTTTTTTCTACTTTGTTTCCAGTTTTTTGTAACGTACCCATCCCATGTTCTAATTACAGTGAGGCCTATGAGCAATTGTACTGGAACTCTTGCAGGAGTGACAAGCTTTCCCTCAAGTTTAAAAAAGGTTAAAGAAAAAAAAAAAATTCAGAGAAACTTGTTTAGAACATTAATCACCCAGCTAAGCACTCCAAATCCAGGAAATTTCAAAGCTTAGATTATGTGTGAGAAAATCCAGTAGAAATGGAAGCAGAAATTATTGTCTGGAGAGTGCAGAGGGTGACAAGAGAAATATTTGGGGAAGGAAGGCTAGAGCAGAGCAGAGCTCCTAAGTTGTTCTGGAGTCCTGGCTCTCTAATCCTGTGCGAGCTAGAGAGCTTTACGGTGTGTCCTACTTCTTTTCCTTTAATCTGTGCTGTGAATGGAGTCTTAAAAATAATTTTTTAAAAATTGTATTTGGTGGGCTTGTACTTGCAGGGAGTTCTAGTTAGCACACTCAGTTATTTCAAAATTTGGAAGGAGATACAAGTTATTTAAATAATTGAGACTTTTTTCTTATTATTCCATTCTTCATTGTGTGCACATACCTGGCAATGTCCCAGAACAAAGTACGAAATACCAGCTCTCTGTAAATGCCAAGAATTGGTCAAATAGGTGATTGTCACATATTCACATCATTATTTATGCTGTTAGCAGTTATCGTTAATAAATCAAAACACTAGTGAGGATATTTTCAGACGTAAGAGCTAGACCCAAATCCCCACTATCTTTTGCTCTGAGTGAGGCACCTAATATCTGCTGGAAATTGTGAAGAATTTGGGAGTGATGCTGTATTTGAGGAACTGTACAGAAATAACTCTGTACACTTTGAAGAGATTAAATGCTACCATTTAGTAGCAATAGGTTTCTTCCTTGCTCCCTGCTGATAAATGGAAGTCTGAAAAGAGGGGGGAACGTGCAGTCTCATGTATGTTCAAGAAGCTGTTCAAGGGTGGGAGTGAGCTTTATCTGATATCTTAGCAAGTTCTTTGCCGAGTTAGATTATCAAGTTTGAATCTGGGCTATTGAAGGACTGGCAAGTGATAGGTACACAAACCATTCATTCTGTTATTTCATTGACTAGCCCATCTCTCAAGCCAGATGTGTGCACCAGAATGGCTGTTTAGTATCTGGACTGTACATTTTCTGGGCCAGGGCTGGCTTACCTATCACTTCTTTGTTTGTACCTGAAGAAAATTTAGATACCCTGATTTTAGGTTTATGGTTCGGGTTTCTTGCTGGCTTGGCTGGAATGCTACAAATAGACAGAATTTTGCTTAACTTGCAAAACATAGAGTTAGAATCTATGTTATTAAATTAGTTAGAATCTATGTTATTAAACTCTCTCTGGCCATGTCTGATTGATCTTAATGAAGTGGACAAAGGCCAAGATAGTGAAAAATGAGGTCTGTCAGGAAAAAAATAGGAAGAGGGAATAGCTCTTCTGTAGTCAAGTTTATTAAACAAGCACATGAACAGAAAATTTAGAAATGGGATTTAGAAAATATTGTTGCTTTTGGCTTGAACTATTATGAAAGCAATATTCAATAATGCAGAAAACTCAAAAGTTCTGTTCTTTTCTCCCTTCCTTTTCCTCAATCTCTCTCTTCCACCTTACCTATCCTTTCTTTGCTCTCCTGTCTCCTCTAATAGGTGCTGCTGCTGATTGATATCCAGGTTTCTTACATCAACACCAACCACGAAGACTTCATTGGCTTTGCAAAGTACGTATATAGAGACTTTGTTATACAGACACTGTCAGTTTTTGGTTGTGGTGTGGGTTTTTTTTTTTGTTTGTTTGGTTTGTTTTGTGGGTTGTGGGTTTTTTTTTTCTCTTCCCCCACTAAGTTCAGAACACAAGTCCTGAAGCGTGACAGTGAAGATGCAAGCTGCAAAGTCCCAAACATGGAGGAGCATGCTCTTTCTCAATATACACAGTGTTGAACCCTGCCCCACTTGTTAGGGGATTCTTTTACCCCAGTTCACAAGCCTGGTTTCACTGAAGCTCAAGCTTATGTCTTGGTCTGGAATCACATGCATCTCAGGAAGCAGCTTTGGCAAGCCGATGCCCTCACTGTATCCATTTTAGGACCACAGAAATGAATAATATTGGTGGTCTTTCCACATTGTTGTTAATGCATATTTTGGGAGCTGTGATTCCGTGTGAAACAGTTTTGCTCGGAGTAATAGATGTCACTGAATTGTAAGTGTGCCTGCTGTTTGGCTGTAGAGAATAATAGTAGCAGAATGCCCTGCAGGGCCTGGTTTGACGTTCTCCTCACTTAATTGAAAAGGCTGTGAGAATATTCTCCAGAATGTTCTCTCTCAGCTTCCAGCAATTTGTGCCTCAGGGACTTCATACCCACATTTTGACATTAGTAAAAACATTAAAGATGTCTTCACTCTTTGAAGAATAAATGTTCCTTCAGCCATATTCATGCCACATTTGCCATAACAGTGTTTGGAATGACAACAGGTTTCATCCATGTGGGATGCTGGCAACAAAGTTTGGCATTACAGTACGTGTTATACTATGACCTATTCTAGTTAGCACTGTGAAGGAAGGTCTGCATCTTTGGCAGTATATCTTGAAGGTTTAAAACATGGAGTTCAGTAGGCTGAGAGGGGAGAAGGCAAAGCCAGGCACTATTTGTGTTTGGTTTGAGCAACTTTCTCTAGAATTGTTTGCAGGTCCTAGATATCAGTTCTCTTGACAAATGACAGGATGTTGCAGGAATGGTAGCTGGCCTTCTAGAGGTCAAGATAACAACCTGCCTGCTATTTACTTCTCTTCATCCTTTTCTGACAGGAAAAAGCCTGCTAAAAACACTCCATATGTATTCATGGTGTGTGTTGTGACCCTGGGAAGTCACATAGTCCAACCTCCTGCTCAGAGGAGGGTCAATGCTGAGTTCAGACCAGGTTACTCAGGGCTTTGTCCAATCAGATCTGGAAAACTTCCAAAATCGGAGATTCTCCAGCCTCTCTGTGCAGCCTGTTCCAATGCTTGCCTCTCCTCAGTGTGAAAAAACTTTTCCTTGTGTCAAGTTGGAACCTTCCATATTTTATAGTCTTGGATTCTGGAGTGCCAGGTATCTCTGGAGCTATTTCATTATCTCTCTCCCCTGGAAAAACTCCCCTCATGGATGCTGCAGCTGGGGCCTGTAGTTCAGTCCGTGGTCCTCACTGCTGTGTCTTTTCCAAGGAGTTGCAATGCCCGAGTTCAATTTCTTGGGAAAGCTGCTTCCTCTTTTGCCAGCTGAGATCTACAAATCCCCAGCCGCTGTGCATGTAGTATAAGCAGATAACAAACGGCTCTTTGCTTAAGTTCACTGATAAGTTTAGGCAAGTGTTTCTATAGGTTGAAACTGATGGGAAGGGAAGTATCTTTGTTGACTTGTGCTCAACTGGAAGAGAAAACTTGGATAACTAAGAACAATTTAAAATGTAAAATATATTAATTTATGAGCTGAACAGTAGAAAATACACATTTTAAACTATAATCATGTTATTGTTATAGCAAGTATGTTTGACCTGGAAAAGGAAATAATTTTTGGGTAGCATATGGGCTTCTGCAGTGTCTAAACATCCTGGACTACAGATTCCCCAGATTCCCTAGTGTTTCCTTTCTTTTGCTGAGTCTTTTAGCCAGTTGTCTCATGTGACTGCAGTGTTTTATCAGTGTAACTCCGTGAACCTTGTTCATAAGAGCGAGAGCACAAGACATTTCAAACTACCTTGCAGCATTGCGGGGCCTGCGGCAGGTACAGTGCGATGTGAATTGACTTGAGAAGGATTTAAGAATGCCAATATTTAGAACACCTTTGCATAGTTATGAAAATGTGAAATCTTAGAATATTAATGTTTGTCTCATTCAGCAGAACAAGTAGTAAAATGTAGGGATTGGGTTTGTTTCCAGTTGGTGTAACTTAGACATAGCTACATGCTTCAATCTACATAGTGAGTAATTTGTATTTAGAACAGTAAATAGAGGACCAATTGCTGGGCTATTTCTAAAAGGTGTGGGTTTCTTAGTATGCTGTTAAGTGGTCTTAGCTTTCCTAAGGTGATAAAATAAAATAAAATGAAAAAACCAAAACCAGACCAAAAGAGTGGCAATTAGGTTCTCTAAAGCCATCTCATGTGTGTTTCTCAAACACCACATTGGAATTGGTGAGGGATTAGTGCTGTGTTTTCTGTGTGCGCGTTATTTAATCATAATTTATGCACCAAAGCTTATGCAACTCAGATGATGCGCCAGAGACTTGCAGTGTTATTTGGTCAAAAGGATCTGAATGATTGAGAGCTAAGCCCAGTGAATAGGTGCATGGAATAAACATCCTTGTGGATCTTGTCACGGACAGCATGTGGACTGCTGAGTACGGTCTGAAGGGCAGGATCAGAGTTGGGATGGGGCTGAGTTTGGTGCTTCAGCAATTCTTTGAAACAGCAGCTGTGCAAAAAACAGTTGCAGGATTGGCCCATAGGCTGTGATCCAAGCACATCTTTCTTTCTTACTCTTTCAAAGCAGTGTTTGTAGCTTTTTTCTTCAGTTAATCAATGCCTGGTGAAATGGTATAATCTAATCCAAACAAAACTTCCTGTCACCAGTGGCCGCTCTGGTGCTTGAGTAGCCAAAGCCTGCTCTCTGAACGCTTTTCTTCCTCTTTCCAGCAATATTTTAATTTTGTGGCCTAACACGTACAAACCACCATGTAATGCAAATGCTTTTAGAATTAATGGCAACTTGTATGTTTTTGAGACAGGAGTGTGTTTTGTTTCAGGAACTGGGATTACCAGAGTTCAAGAATAGAGCATATTTTAAATATGGTTTAATTTCAGATATGCTCTATTCTTATATGATTCCAGCTTTTTGAACCGGCTTTGTGATGGCTTCATCCATTAGTTATATTTACACCCTCAAAGTGCATATAAATATTAGAATAATAACCAAAACAAACTGTCAAGACAAAGCTATTAAGAAGCCTCCAGCAGGGGAGGATTTTGTTGTACGGCACTAAATAACAGAAATGGCTTGCTTTTTGTCTCTTTTGAATATTTATAGAGGCTAATGTTTCCAAAGTTACCCACATGAGCCATAATTTCTCTGTGCTTTTAGTAACCTTTACCAATCAAACATCTCCTTGTTACAAAGGAGATGATTAGTAGGAGCTGTCTGCTGTGCATGTCCTAAGCAGGCAAATATATGCAGGCATTCCTATATCGTAAGAAAAAGTAGTTGAAATATGCACATGTATGCAATGATTTTTCTGTGTTTCTTTGTTACTCTAGCTTTCTGTGCTGGGATCAGAAGTAACTATTACTGCTAAAGTCTATTCCTCGGGAACTGGCTTAGTTCGAGTTTCTTCAGTATAACTCTTTTCCTCTGCTTCCCTTAGTGCCCAACAAAGAAGCAGTCAGGTTAACAAAAGTGCAGTGGGAAATCAGGTAGGCACCTAACAGAGAATGGATAATGGCATGTGCAAGTTAATCCAAGCTGTTTGGTTTTCTTGGCTGCATTTATTTGTTGTAAGTGTATCATTTACCTTTTCTGCTTCAAACACATAAAATGCGTCATCATCGCCTTGTTTTACTGAATTTTTCAGAGCCACCTGACTTTCATTGTTATCATAATTTATTGTTTAATATTTCTGCTACTGCTTGCACTGCTGGTTAGTGTCTCCTCTCCCATGCCGTCTAGTGTATTGAGTCTTTCATGTTACACATCAATGTATTTTGTCATTAACTGCAAACTTGTGAATTTCAGAATCCAAAATGCTGGTGAGTACTTGCTTGTGTGTGCTTTGTCATAGTCATTTTACTAGTTTTTACGTGGTCACAGCTTAATAGCAGTGAAGGGGCAATTCAGCAAGCAAAAGCGGATTTGCCTTTACCTCTTCTGAAAACTTTCAGTTGACTTCACAAAGATGTTGACTATGTACCATAGGTCTCTTTCAAAGTAAACAAAGAATAACTGGTTGATGGTCTCATTTTAATTAGCAATTTCACTGAGATTCATTAATGAAATTACTTGTTTGTTTCTTTTTATCACATAAGAACATGGGATTGATTCTGCAAGATGCTAAGTGCTCCTGAGCTTTGCTTCTTTCTTTGCTTTTGTGTGGGCCAGGGGTGCTCAGTACTTCCCAGGATCAGTCCTCTTTTTTATATGAGATGAAAATAATGAAAATGCTACAACTTTGAGAGTTTCTGCTCACTTTGAGGGTTTTGCAAAGTCTCAAACAGAAAGAAAATGTTATGGAATAAGTACATACTTTAAAAGGAAATAAAAAATTCTAGTAAAAATCAGACAATGAAATTTTGTATGAATAATTACCAGTATTGAATGTCTTCCTGATGTTTTCATGTGCAATTTGGTCAAACAATGCTCAGGAGGTAAAAGTCAAGGTTTTCAAATGTGACCACTGAGTTTAGATCCCTCAGGTGATACACCTGACATTTCAGAGTGTCTCCTATTCTGCTGTTGTAGATGAGAGTTCTAGCATTTTTTGAAAACTTACTCGTCTTTTTGGGGATAGAAATCCAACCTCCTCCTCCCACCAAGAAATTGCTAGTTATTTTTGAGATGTTAGTTAAAATAATCCATTAACTTCTTGGATGCGATGGTCCCCCACAGCCTGACCAGCATGAGTGGCGTTTTTGATGTAATATATGGTTTGGATTAAAATGAAAAAAGTTGAAAGGTCTAAACACTGAAATGGCTTCAAAGACTAGTCTCTCCCCTTTGAGGAGAGATTTCCTTCTTATCTATCTGTGCTGGAACATGTGTCAAACACAACAACCGTCATCACTTTGCAGTGTCCCATAAAAGGAAAATCGACCAATTATCTGACTTTTCAAAAATACACAAATAAAATGAATGATTTTTTAATTAAGTGAATGTTCTCTCTCTAAAGAAGTGGAGAAAAAGCTTGGGATTTTAAATTAAATGTTGAAACTTGATTACTTTTGGTATAAAGGACTTTGCTGAACCTTTTATTTTAAAGATAATAAACAGATGTTTGTAAGTTAATTGTTTGGAGTTGAAAAGAATGAGAAAATGTTTCTGAAATAAAACTTCATTTTTGCAATTTGCTATTTCAGGGAACCAATCTACCGCCTTCAAGGCAAATTGTACGAGCTAAGTTCTGTAAGCTTTATTGTGCTTTTTCATTTAGCTTCTCAGAGGGCAAAGTTTGTCTCTAACTCATTGGTTTGTTGAATACTTGCTATTAAACTATTTAATGTTAAACTGTCTTGTCTGTAACACTTCCACAACAAAGTATAATTGCAGTTCATCACTTAACTGCTACTAACCTGCTGTTACAAGTATGAACTAGTATAACTTAAAATGTTGTAGAAAACTTTGAATAAAATTAATATTTTTATAATTTACTGAGTTTCTCAGACTAAAATGACTAATTGGTGTTTATTTTATTATATAACTGGAAAACAGTTTTTATTTGATGTAAGTGCCTCTATTCATAGAAAACCTCTTTTTGAAAGGTGGGCAAATAAGTTTCTGGTAACCGAAAGGAAACATTAGCTCTTGCGTAAACGAACATGCTGTTTATGGGTACAGGTACTGTTCTTGGTATTTTTTTTATGTAAAAGAATTACTTCTGATAGAAAAAGTGAGTTTTATTAATAAACTTAGAAATATTTAAAGCCTTTTCAGCATTCTTTTCATAGCACCAGGAGGATCAATATATTATGGACAGACTCTTTTCTAACCCTTCCACCTCATGAGTAAATAAGTATGTGAATGCCTTTAATACTACTAATTAGAATTAATTGTCTAAACAGCAGTTAATTTTATAACAAGTTACTCCTGGTTCAGTGATAGTTAGGTGTAAGAAGTAAATCTTTGTATCGTGTACATTCTTTGGTAATATCTATGATGAAAACATATACATTTTTCCAGTTTGTTGCCACATCATCAAGTTATATTAGTTCTCTTTTCAAACAAACTTAAACTAAACTTATGTTCAATAAAGGAAAAAGGACTAGGCAGCGCTGATTCTAAAGCAGTGGAACTGAATCTCTTGGGAGATCAAGATCATTAAGTTTTCCCAAAATAGTGGGATGCTCATTTGCAATCCATTGCTTTTCTTTTTTTGTAGCTTGCTTTAAACTGGAGTGATGCAGATAACTACTAACTATTTCTGTGTATCTCAGAAATAAGATGAGCACAGCAATATTGCATTTTTGGAAGAAGTGTAATGCCAATTCCTCTTAACATGTTTTTGCTCCTTTTCCTTCTACTACTAATTTATCCTCTCACGCTTAATCTTTGGCCTTTTTTGTTTGTCTTTTCTTTGCTACCGCCTGAGGTTTTGACCTGACTCCACAAAGTTTCTTTTTAAGCCACAGGTTAGTCTGTCTTCTAATTTGTTTGAAATAATCAGTGTAATGCTTGGTTTTACACAGCACACTAGCAAGATCTGGTTCCTGAAAGCTGACCCACTCTTAACTGTGTATTTTGTGTATTGAGATCTGTTTTGGTGGCTAAAATTTAGTGTTTTAAGCTCCCCTTCATGATAAACCTTTGAAGATGAAGGTGTCATTGCTCCATGTGCCCAATTGATACTCTGTGTGTGAGAATGCAAGATACTCAAATTATAGAGGATTACATATAATTCATATGAAATTCTGTTTTGTGGTTTACTTCTGTGGCAAAATCTGCTGCTGTGGAGAAGGGGCTTAATCTGAACTATGAGTTTCAAGTCACTGTCCAAGTGATTTGGAGGTTTGGGTTTGGCTTTGTTTGACCTGCCTCTTTTCCATGTTACACCAGCAGTCTGATTCAGTGTTCTGGACACAAGTAGCATTCAGACCCCATCAGTTGGCCTGAGCTATAGTGCTAATAAGTAACTTTTTCCCTAGTAACCTCTTTTTTTCTTTTTAATCCTGCTTTGTAGCATACTTTGCTGCTTCTTTTCTCCAGATACACTTAAATCCTGTTACCTTGCATGACCCAGGAAAAAAATGTGTTTACAGAATTTTTTTAAGCAAGTAGATGGAAATGGAAAATTGTGCCATGGTCAGTGAGGTAGTCATGAAAAATCATGACAAGGCTGTTCTGTTAAGAAATGCCAGTGTTTCTGTACAAGAGGTAGTGCCCATGGACAACCACATGATGCTAAATTTTGAAATATCCTTGAATGAGACATGCTGCTGTTGAATTTTCACCTTATCAAGACTAGAGAAGTATTGCTGTTCTAAATGGCCTTTAACTATACTTTTTAGGTTAAGATTCATGATTGACTTATCACCTCAGAATGAGACCTGCTGCTGTTTCACCTTTCTTGAATTTTCACCTTATCAAGACTAGAGAAGTATTGCTGTTCTAAATGGCCTTTAACTATACTTTTTAGGTTAAGATTCATGATTGACTTATCACCTCAATCTTTGTTTAACTACATTTGGAAGCATGTTTCAGTTTTTCACTACTGAGTGCTTTGCTTCAGTAAAGACTAAATTTTTCTTTAAAGTAGACACGTGTTAGGACTTATATCACATAACTTAAAAATAATGACAGTGGCTTATTATGCAGTGATTTTTGGGGAAGCAATGTTACAAGATCTTGGTTGTGTTCAGTATCAGAACAGATCTGATCAGTTTATGCTCTGACATTTGGCAAATTACAGTGAAATACTGTATTATGTTTCCCCTCTAATCTGTTGTTCCTTTTTAGCCTCTGTAGTGTGCGAATCTTCATGTTTGAACCCAAAGAACCAATAGCTTGTAAGGATGCCTCACAGAGTAGTTTTTGCAATTTTTATTCTCTCAATGTGCTTACTATTTGGTAATACATGTTGTTATGACAGTGATTAGAAGATAGAGTTGTGCTGGGAGTTGTGTTGCATGTTCAAAATTATTTCAATGGAGTAACGTAACACAGCTTTAACAGAAGTTATGTTAACTCAACAAATGCTGCTGCTTGTGTTGCTGTGGAAGTAGCCAGTCTCATGATTTTCACACTTGTATTTGTCTGCCCAGTCAATTTCACTTACCTCTCACTTATCTGGAAATCATCTTTCAAATACTTCTTTTAAAGAAATGGAATGCTTTCTGATTCTCTAATGTATTTCTTTTACAAATACCTTATTTGATTTAATGAAATGAATAACTCATGCAGCAATACATAAAATGTACTTATTGTGTCAAATCCTGCTTTCCTGTTTATCCGTGAAGTGGTGGAGAGTTAAGAACAACAGATATGATTTGGGTTTTGTGCAGCGGAACTATCAGAAAATTACTTCCTTCTGGCTTGTTCGTGTGCATTCATACCCTCTAAGTTTCATTTTTCAGACACCCAGATTAGGTATCAGGACCCTGAAGGAAGGAACTGTGTCATCTTTTGTTCATCCTGTACATGGAGTCCAACTACCGGTCAGAATATTGTCTTCACTAGCTTCTGGCAATGCCCATATTTTTCACCTTCCTGAAGTTCATAACTCATGTCACTAATATCTGGTTTGCACAGAGTGACATTTAGAAATACGATAGAAAATATTGAAATGGATCTCTTAAATCCAAACCAACCAGAAAATGAACTAGTGAAAACAATAATGAAACACACTACCTTCATTTTTCAAGCTGAAGTACTATACAATGTAGCTAACACAGTAGTTTAAAAAAAACAACCACCACCCCCCCAGTCAGAGTTTTTTTAACTTCAAAAGTCTCTTTGAAAATCTTTGCTGCTTATTGCCCATGGAAGGACATTTATTTCTAAAATATAGCTTGTGTTATTTTTTGAGATCATTTTGGCTGTAGTCTAAGGTGTAATTCAGCTTCTCTGGAAAGTAAAGCCATGTTTCTTAATCTCTCTTTCTTTTGCACTTACACCTTGATCCGACATCTCCCTTGCACCTGACCCCAGCACTGGTACTGAGTATTTTGAAAGTGTAGCTTTTTGTAGTTAACAAAATGTGCCTGGGAAACGGGAACAATTCAATGAAAAGAACATGAGGCTTAGCATACTAAGCTCATCTTCTCTCTCTTGATGTACCCTGGAACTGCTTCCAAGTATTTTGGATAATTATGATCTGTTTTAGTGTCCAGGATATTGTAGAGAACACAGTGCCCTGTTTTCTCAGAGGGGTATAGATAAACAGGTCTAGAAATTTGCACATGATAAACACATACCGAAGTTATTGCTATAGCATGGTGCTCTGCTCTTTGTACAATGTTGTCTGGGAATGACAGCTGGACCTAATCCTCAGCACACAGGGTTTTTGAGGAAACAACTGGCAAATTCCTTCCTTTACAAGACAGTGACCAATGTTTGTATTAGCAAGTCAGCGTGTCTCTGTCCACACCCAGTGATGGTTATGCATCTATGGGGAGATGCGTTGGACTGCAGCAAGACAGTCTTTTGGAGCTATGCAACTAATGTATTAGTTGTATTAAAAGTATTAGAAGTATTAGAAGTATTAAAAGTATACCCCGTATTAAAAGCTTCATTACTTCTTAAATGACTTGTATAGTTTAAATTTTAAAATCTTGGCTTGGTCTGTTCTGAGACCTCTACCACAAATGTGTTCTTGTCAAATTGAGAAAATTTGACTCTTATTAACATGCTACAAAGCCTATGGTAATGATGAGGGAAAGCACTGAATGGAATAAGCAGAGTGTGCTACTTCCCTTCCCTTTTAAATGCTCATCACCTGTAAGGTTCTTGAACATGCTACGTGGGTGTTTCTTACTGGTTTGCTTCTAGAAACCATCTCTTTATCCCTACTGTGACATCTGTCTTCAAATCGTAGAATCATTAAGGCTGGAAATCATTTACCCTCTCTAAGATGTGTGTCCAAACCAGTTTTCAGTAGTGTGCTGATCCAGCTGCCTGTGCTTCCTGTATGTGGATATGTGCTTTAAAGGGAACAACACAGCATTTTCCCTGCAGACAGCAGGGTTCAACAGCATCCTCTCTCATAGCCTCTTATTTCAGTTTCTTTATAATGTGGGAATAACCACCTTTGCAAATTTGCCATGAAGTATTTAGTTTGCTAAATAGCAAATATAGCTCACCTTGTTGCGGAGCTAAGTTCAAGTGGTTGGGGAACCTTAATTTCCTGGATTTTTTCCTAAAATTTCTTCCATTTGCATTTGTGTAGTTCAGCACAGAAAAAAATGAAATTAGCTTGGTTCCACAGCTTGTTCTGTGGCAGCTGCCTGAAGGCCAGTACACTGGCTACATACGCATGTTGCTTGTTTCCTGTTAAAAGTTTACTTCAATAAATGTTGTAAAATAAAATGAGGATTTGATGGGTAATCAAGTTTGTATCAGTATGTTTCCCTTAACTTGCACTCAGACAAGCATTCCATGTCTATTTGTACTCAGTAATGCCTCCCCCCCCCCCTTACTTTCTCTCCACCCCACAATGAACATGAATATTAAAAATAATTACAAACTTCTGCAGAAACCTTTGTGGTACAGGCTGTTCCATCCAGTCTGCTCATGCTATACCCTTGAGTCTCTCTACAGGAGTCATGTCCAATTCTCTCATAGCTTTCTGAGTCTTCAGAACCAAATCAATGCTTTCTTAGTGATTTTCTTACAGGCTGAAAACCCGTAGACTGTTTTTGGATCTTCAGTGGTTTTCTTACACTGCTGGCCTGCTTGGTAGTGAGTGGGAAAACATGATAATCTTATTTGAAATTAAATTGATACTCTTGGATTATATGCATTACCAATACTTTAACCAGATTTTCAGGTGCAACTTCTGATCTCTTTCTTTGGTTTAGTTATCAAATGTAACTTAGTCCCTTGCTCTGTGCAATACCAAAGCTGTTTTTTTCAGGGAGCTTACACAAACGTGTATGCTGAATGCGAGTGAATTCCGATTCTGAAACTTTTATAGATGACAAGGAATAGATACTGAGCAATGTTTTTCTCTGGTTGTCTGTTGATATTGGAGTTACTAGTCTTGTAAAGCCCTATGAGAGGAATGTCAGTCTTGTATATTTCTTTAAAGGCAAGAGGAAACTCATGTTTGATCACACAAGTCCATGCTTGTGGGACTTGTTGAGGGAGTTCTGAAGGGCTTCTCTGAGCACTTCTTTCCATCTCAATACTTCATAGGCAGGTAAAGGGTGTTGCTGTGGGGAGAAACAGAATGGCTGAGGTTCCCTGCATCTGTGTGATTGGGAGAGGTCTGTTGTCTTGTTCAGAGTATGATAGGAAGGAACGTTTGCTTTCTCATATATGTATTGGAAAGCAATAAATGTTCCAATAAAATTGTAAGTTTCTATATGATCCATAAACCAGTTCTCATGACCATTCTCTCTTCTTCACCTCCGGAATTCTCTCATTCTTCTTAAGTTTTCTTTTGTCCCTCTTTCTCTTTGCATGATGTAGCCTCCTGGCCTTAGTGTTTATAGGTATGCTGTTCCCATCTGTTCTTTCATCTTTGGCTTGTATCTATTTTATAAAGTTCTGCTTTACCCATTTTTTTCCCTGATTTTTATTGCCGCCTTAGGGTTTTTTTTTTTTCCCCTCTTTTCCTTTTCTACCTTATGAGAGGAAATTAGCTCTCACATACCTCTCCTTACCGCTTCCTATCTTAATTTCAAATTAACTGTAGAAGACTTCTCCACTTTGTCACTTGATTCAACCCCTTCTGAAAATTCCGAATGTGTGCCAGAAGCCACTTGCTTTGCCAGAATCTAGGTGCTTTTCCTAGTATCCAACTTTACAAATGACCTTAACAATTAGACTAGAACAGAGTAGTCATATATAAAGTTGTATGGACTTCTACAATGTGTTATTATACAGCAAATAAGCATCTTCAAGTTTACACGATCCTTAATGCATTCATACTTGCTGTAAGTACAACACAATAATACTCAGGCTTCTCTCTTTCTCCAGCCTTTTGACTGAAAACACTATATTCACTTTGGTTTTTTTTTTTTTTTTTTCCTTGAATGATAGGAATGTGCAAAAACTCTTGAATTTGCCAGACACTGAAAAAGTGCACCTGTTCTTGTTTTATTTAGCAAGTCTTTATTTAAAAGCGTGAATGCAGCAGGAGAATTATGTCAAGTGAGTGATGAACTAAACTTGTACCTGACTGCACCTCTGCACAGGTCATCCGGAAAGGCTGGCTGACTATCAACAATATTGGCATCATGAAAGGAGGATCCAAGGAATACTGGTTCGTTCTAACTGCAGAAAGCTTGTCCTGGTATAAAGATGATGAGGTAAGGAATGAGTAACTTTTTTCTACTGGGGAAAAACCCCAGTATTTATTCAGTCTTCTGATACCAGCTTAAATTATTAAATCAGCTTGTACAGACTTGAAGTGAAAGAATGTTTTAAGGTTTTACCTGTGTTTGTTAAATTTTCCGGTTTTGGTTCATGGAGAATGCTGACCCTCTAAGACTTCTGTTGAAATGTTGATAACATAAATACAGGGTGTTGTGTGGGATGTTTTTGTTTGTTGTTTTTTGTTTTACTTTTTTCCTCTCTTCCTGTGGTTTCCACACACTGGTCAAAAACAAAAAAAAAAGCCTGTTTTGGAATGTTCTGGTTATTGTCCTGTGACTGTTTGGACTGCTCTTGCGCATCTACTGTTAAGTTGATCATAAATTGTCTAGGTAAAGTTACTTCTAAACGTAACTAGAGCAATTGATTTAATGGTAACTGTTGTTCTCTGGCCTCATATTCTGAGAGGATGAAAAGCCTGTCTGCAGAGTTCTGTAGTTGGTTGGTATGGATTATCAAATTTGACAAAAAATGCACCTTGGTAAGAAATGTCGCTGTTGATCAGTAAATCTGAGGTGAGTAATATGAGAACTGGAAAAAACATTTCTATGATAAACAGGACATCCAGGTTGCTTACTTTGTTGAATACGTTGTTAGGCAGCTCGTCTATTCTGTTTAATTATTTTTTCAGCAATGTTGGTAATGATACGCTCTATCCAAAACTCCAGCAGTCTTGTTGTTAATTTTTGAAGGTTAAAATGGGATTATTATGTGCACTATCAGCTGTACAATAAAGCCCTTGTGGTTTTTTTTTTAAGTTTTGTGTTGGTTTTTGTAGAAAAATTGGGCTACGTTTAAAAAAACCCCAAACTATTATTTTCTGATTTTTTTAAGTTAAATGTTTTCAGCAAAAATTTAGTGATTTTTAGGGTGAGCCAGTTCATTGGATGGAAGAGGCACGGGTAAAGAGAGAGTTTTAGATGAGTTCTAAAACATCACTCATTCTTTCCATCTTATTCTAAGTAATAATCAAAACACTGGCTTACGCCAGCAAAACAGGGAGTAGGTTGATGGGGACTGTGCAGACAATTCATATTCTGTTTAAACTAACTTAGTGTTTTACTGCAGTGGATTTTCTAGAAAATTGCAGGAGAGGTCCTGCAATGCATGTACGTAAGCCAGAGCTCTGCTGAGTCTTGCGAATCCAGAATGTGGTACTTACCATAGGTAGTTACTTCAGTAATACTGCTGATGGTGGAAACTGCGTTGGTCAGTAGTGTTTTTTTTTCCTGAGTCAGTAGCCATTTTGGGATAGATCTTAAGATTGAAGGACAAATTAGGTTAATCTTGAAGATTTTGCCCCTTGCCCTTTTATTTAAGTTTTAAAGGGATTCAAATGTTTTTACTGTAACAGGAAAATGAGTGCATGTCAGACAGAGGGGAGAAGCCAAGTGCTAAGTGTCAAGAGGGGAAGTTTTGTTCTCAGATTACTGAAATATAACTTGAAGTATTTTATTGTAATGACATAAAAATGAATTAAAAAGAAGTGCAAAAATGCCTGTATGAATTCAAAAATTTGAAGCTGTTGTTTTTTGTGATCTACCTTGAAGGTACTAGAACTTGCTGTCTTAGATTAGGTACAGGTAACTGTAACTAAAATAAGATAAGTGATGTGGTGAGATTAACACCCCTTGCTGTGTTCTGTCTCAAGCAATTGGAGGTGCATCCAAGATGTGCTGTGGCAATTTTTTAGGTAGTTTTGGTGTTGCTTTTTTGAGTCTGATCTTTATGTAGTGTGAAATATAAAAATTCCTGAAAATAATTAAGGAATGTCTTCTGCTATGCAACTTAAAAAATAGTCTGCTAGGGAGAGTCACCTAGGGAATCTCAGAATAGTAAGTGGAGGGAAATGGCCGCTGTCTGATTTCCATACGCATATTTTAAAATAATGTCTTTTAATTGCCAAACAGTTGTGTTTTGAGAGTAATGAAAATACCAGTAGTTCATTCAGGGCAATATGGGAGATCACTCAGGAATTTCTTAGAGTGGTAAAAGAAGATAATAGCATAGTACTATTCCATGCTTTGCTGGTGGAAGAAATTCCTCCTTAAGTACAGATTTGCTGTATAATTTGATTATTCTGTCCTGGGAAATTTTTTCTTTTTTCTTTTTTCTTTTTTCTTTTTTCTTTTTTCTTTTTTCTTTTTTCTTTTTTCTTTTTTCTTTTTTCTTTTTTCTTTTTTCTTTTTTCTTTTTTCTTTTTTCTTTTTTCTTTTTTCTTTTTTCTTTTTTCTTTTTTCTTTTTTCTTTTTTCTTTTTTCTTTTTTCTTTTTTCTTTTTTCTTTTTTCTTTTTTCTTTTTTCTTTTTTCTTTTTTCTTTTTTCTTTTTTCTTTTTTCTTTTTTCTTTTTTCTTTTTTCTTTTTTCTTTTTTCTTTTTTTTTCTTTCCTCCTTTCCTCCTTTCCTCCTTCTTTTCTTTTTTTTTTTTTACTGGGCCTTTCTCAATAGGACTTAAAAAATTAGTAATGTCTGTTTTAGATGCTTTCTGAAGAAGGTCAAAGCCACAGCTTGACCACTAGGTTAGGCAAAAGATGAGTGACTTGTTTCAGAAACAGAACTACTGGCTTCTGAAAATAAAGAAGCAAATATTTGATCTCCTGGCTGAATTCCAATTTTTATAATTACATTTCGTCTCCTTAAAATGTTCTCCTCACTTTCAGCTTGGTTTGGTGGTTGTCACATCCTGTTCTCAGATGATTATTGAAATGGCTGCATGCTGTAGTATTTCCACCCTGGTAAGATACGTAGTCTTCAGTGAAGTGTGAAGTGATACCCATGTTTATGTGTCCGAACTGTGCCCGGGCTCAGTACGGCTGTGCACGCTGTGAGGTCGTAGGGAGTTCAGATCCCCCGTGCCTCCCACTCGGGCCAGTCACTTCTGCCGTCCTTGCACAGTAGCAAGAGCCTCTCCATCACAGCTGGGGAAGATGCAGAAAGTCACGTCTCACCTTTGTTCTCTTGTCACAGGTGATGAGTTTGTTCCCCCTGCATCTCTACCCCTGAGTAAGGAATGCTGTAGCAGCTTGTGTACCAGAGAGCTCTGACAATGTACTTTACAAAGCTACAGTGCTTGCTAGGACCTTTAGGGCTGTGTACCCCCTCTAGTGTAAGCTGAGCCCATTTTCTGTAGTCTGAAATTTACTCTGCGATGAAAATCACTCTCTGAATGCAAGTGGTTGCTTGCTACTGCCATTAGAGTGATGTAAATTTTTTCCTTTGTGAGCTGCAGCTTTTATAAGTGAAGAATCCACAGTGGAATGCATTTTGAAGCAAGTTACTTTGGCAGAAGATTTCAAAATTTGTTGTATATCAGTATTACAAAAGAAACGATCGGTTTCTTGACATGGTTTTGTTGCTGCTCAAGCGTGCAACAGGATCTTATTCCTGATAAAGAGGGAATCAGTGCCTAAGAATGCTTTTTAGGCTTGTAATTATGGAAATACCAGGTTGATGTTTGAACAGTGTGGTTAAAGCAGTTATAGTATCAGTTATGTGAATACTAATCTGGATTAGTTTCTGATCCTGCATACGGTTGCTTGTGTTCATAAATTTGCTGCATGACCAGTACCATGACTTTGTGCTTCTTCACTTGCTTAAAATGAAGCAAGGGAAATATTGTGTACCACTTTGAGGCTGTTGTAAGTGCGTGCAAGATTAGCACATTCATTGACCTCACAAATACAGATTTCTTTTGCAGAGTATTCCATGTAATACTAGCTACTAATTATAAGGCATACCTACACACACACAAAAGATTAAATCTGAGCATCTTAGCTCTCAGTTGTTACTGTTTTATTAAGTAGCACAAAAAACTTTTTGTGCTATAAGGTTCATTTGAGAGTCAACCTGCAAATATGAAGTTTGTGAATTAGCCACTTCTACTTTAGGATAAAATGGACTTTGGGAATGTGGAACACCATCCTAGCTTCTGAATCAAAAAGCTCATTATTGTAAACAAAAGGATGCCGTTTGTAAAGTGGTCAGAGAACGTGATTTTATTATTCTTCCCAAAGCATCCAGAGATTTCGCTGGCATTATTGGTGTGCAAAGGGTGCCAAGCTGGGTAAGAACTTCTAAAAATGTGAAATTTACATTTATTGGAAAAATCCCCGTAGTCTTATTTTCAGATAAAATATTTCCATACTGTTTCAATAGGAAAGGATACTATTGTCAACATCCAGTGATAGACGCAGTTTGTGTTATAATTTTGCAGTTTCTTCCCAATTGCAAAATTCTGTGTGATTTGGGAGGGAGATATGAAAATAAGTGAGGAGGTGAGAGAGTGGAAAGGGGAGAAGTTGCTCTAAGGTCTGACATTGTGTATGTTTACAGAATTAACTTGCCACATAATAAGCTGCTCTCAGCTTCTGTGGCTAGCAGGGATGTTAGTGATTTTTATACTGACAATAATCTAATAATGCAAGTTGCTCAAGTTATGTCTGAGAAGTAAATGGGAGGACGAAACGTACAATGGTGCCACAGAGCTGCGTATAAATAAAACTTATTGTTAGTGAGTTAATGAGAACAACTAGGAAAAGAGTACTATAGGAAGCACAGTAAAAATTTCAGCAGTGGGTTTTATTGTATTTTATAGGCAGTGTTGCTTTGACTCTAGGTGGGTTGCAGTACGTGGCTTGGTTACTGACCGACCGTCTGAGATCCAGAGTGACTCTTGGCTGGAGCTGTTGGTGAAGATGCTCTGGTGTGTCAGAGCGGTTTCCCACTGGCGGCTGTCCCTCAGGCTGGGTTGTCATGCGACTGCCTGTCTGTGCCTGCTGTACAGGTGAGAGGATGTTCTGCACAGCAAGTGTAGACAGGCAGACACATGACAACTCCGTCCAGCCAGTCCCTTGGAGCCATCACCGCTGGTGTGCAACAGTTTGTACCATTCCAGTTTGGGGGGCTTTGTTGGGAGGGGGAACACACATAACAGAATT